CCATGTCTTGAAACAAGGCCTGTAGCCATCACGGAGTGGGAGTTGACAACACCTGCCACAGAGAGAGACTTTCTATTACTCTCTAATCTTTTTCTGTCTTTTCTCTTCCTGTTCTTTCTAGGACACAATAGAAGGAAAAGTGTCCGACTGTGCGAGTTTTAGGAACCCTTTGTAAAGTCCGTTCTTTAACATTTCCACGAAAGTGCTTCAGGCCAATTGAAGGAAGTAGCAAGCTTGGTTTTTTGAGCGTTTGGAGACCAGAATCGCTTTCCGGAACGCTCAGGAAAGTTGCGTCGGGCCTGTTGTCAGGCACTTTGCGTTTTTTGCTCGTCGCAGCCTCTGTGGCGCTCTCGGCTGGCAGCCAAATCCCACCGAAATCGAAATTGTACTGTCGGTAGGCCGCCAGCAGAACCTTGAGGGAATTTTCGCTGCGTTGGAGTTGGAGTTGCAAGAGAACGGGGTTCATGTTGGTAATGACTCTGACACTGAGCATCTCTTCAGGTACGGCCCACATGCACAGTCATTTCTCGATCTCGGTCGGGAGTACAAGCAGTTCGTTGCAGAAACGGGCATGACCGCCAACCTCATTTGACCTGCTCCTTGGAGGGGTACTTGGAGACCAGCTTGTGTCCCAAGAAGGGATACTGAAGGCCAGCAAGGCCATCCAGCTCCCTGAATGCCCTGGCTGCATGCACCCAAGGCTTTCACCAAGGATATACAGCGCGAAGTTCGTCCCGGCTACAGCCTGGAATTTTTGGCTTCGGATGGCGCAAGCGCAGGTTCAATTCTGCAGTTTCCCACCCTTCAAAGCCTATGGGGTGGAGAGATGGTGGTTGGACAACCTTCTCAAGGCTGGAAAGTTGACGCGGACGTATCTTCGCGTGGCTGCACAGGTGACAGTCGGATTCCAAAAACGACTGGGAGACTGCAAGGCTGCAGAGCGTTATCTTCACGACCAAGCTATTCGAGACGCCGTGCAGGCAGAGTCCAAGACGCCAGAGTCCGCGATGTTACCCATGAAGACGTTTGGGCCAGTCGAGGTGGAGCTTGAGCTTGCTAGATTGCTAGATTTAAGTTCGAAACCCAATGTAACGCTTCCGCCAGGAGTTCGTGGCTTGCCACGACGGACAGCCTCGCTTCCGCCGTCCAATACTTGCAATCGTGGGCGGCACACGCTTGGGTAAATCCATGCTGGCTGCCCACACTTTGAAGCGGGTGGCGAACAAGTTGGGTTTGAGTGAGAGCATGGACCTTGCAGATTTTGACCGTCGTGTGCATTCCGGGGTTCTTCTTGACGGCATCGGAGATGCCATGTTCTTGAAAAGGAACCGGGAAGCCCTGCAAGGTCGCCCAAAGATCGTGAAAGGGACGAGATCTGCCACGAACGTTTTTTCCTATTCCTATTCTTTCTGTGGACGGGCAGTTGTCGCAACTTTCGATTTGTCGGCCCAGAACCTGGGAGAACTCCACACCGACCATTGGCTGTGCAATCGTCAGAATGTCCAACTGCTACGCCTAGACGAGCCAGCCTACATTGAGCCAGCAAGCCTGAGCGCTGCTGGGAGTGATGTTGCCGACTCACGTTCTGATCAGCGAAAGCGCAGGTGGGTGGCTTCGCCTGGACCTAAGCGCGAGCTGCAGTTCGACGAGTCAGGCTGACAGCCAAGTGTCTGCGTGACACAAAAAAGCGAAGTTCATTCTTCTCAAGCAGGAGATTGCAGTGAAGACAGGAATGGGACATGTCAAGAGAGGTGCAATAGAGGAGGTGTGAGCAGTTTGCTGACTTCTTGCAGCCTTTGTTTCAAGCAGCGCTACTGACTTGTGTGCTAGTGCTGCTAGTGCCAGAAAAAACTCGGATACTTATGGCGCCGAAGATGAATCGTGCTCGTCGTGCCCAGGTGAGTCTTTCTGATCTATGTCTATTTCTGTGTGTAGTCGCTGTGAAATGCTGAGTGTAGCTTGCGTCTTCTGTGTTGGAGGTTCTTGCAGATGAGTTGGCGGATCTCCGTTGACAACGTGCTGCGAAGTGTGCAGAAAACCGCGAGCTGGCAAACCAGGAGAAAGCGCTCAAGAAGCGGCGAAGCCGGTTGATGCAGGTGGCCCTGCAACCGTTGACACAAGGCCGAAAGTCCGAAAGCAGCAAACTTTAGCGTTGCTGTAGCTGAGGCAGCGCGCGGACTCAGCACCGACGATTTGGTCGTCCTTTTGCAGCAACAAGGCACGGCGTCGGTAGCTTGGAATGGCATGCGAAAATCAAAGATGCTAGCAGGTGCCGGTCGGGCGGATGCTGGCAATGATGCACACGCCGTGCCAGCCGGCCCTGTTCGTGAGCCAGGCTGTGATGATTGCTTTGCCAGGTGACTTGTCTCGTAGGCCAGATAAGGGAAAAACATGCAGACCAGTCTGCGGTCTGGCAGGTGCGGTTGTGCTCGTGGTGCTGGTGCTATTCCAGGAGGCCGGGAGTCAGTCCAGATAAAGAGAAAACATACAGAATAGTGCGCGGTGGCAGGCGCGGGCCCTGGCTCTCTTGTGCCTGTGGTTGCTGGTGCTGTTCGAGAAGGTCGGAAGTCAGTCCAGATAAGAGAAAACAAACATGCAGACCAGTGTCGCAGGCCCTGGTCCTGTTGTGCCTGTTGCTGGTGCTGTTCCAGGAGGCCGGGACTCAGCCGTGCTAATGCCTGCTGTGCTGTAAGCCTGTAAGCTTGTCGGGAGGCGATCGTAGCGAAGCCATTGCCGTTGATGATGCAGACTTGGAGTTGGGCGGCGGTTCTGAGACAGCTTCGCGACTAGCTGTTTGTCTTTGACGCGTGACTCGTTGCTAGGTGAGCACGGGGCCGTGGTGGTTGATGCGGACTTGCAAGGCAGTGAGTGAATGGAAAAGCTTCGATTGGCTGGTTTCTATTGCTGGCAGGCCCTACGCCGGAGGGTGTAGCTGTCGCCGATGTGGACTTGGGTGGCCGTGCCCTATTATAAGAAACATACAGGTTCGATTAGCAGCTTATTTCGGGCGTGTGACTCCTGGTAGGTGGGGTTGGGGCCATGGTGGTTGATGTTGACGTGGAAGGCAGTGGCCTCAAGCGGTGTTGATTTGCTGCTGTCCTTTTTGCGGGCAGGCCCTGCCGCCGTTGCCGTCAATGCAGACTCACAAGGCAACAGCTTACAGTGGTGCGTGTTTGTGTGGTTTGTATTTGCACTTCTTGCGCGTGATTCCTTGGCAGGTGGGTGTGAGCGTGGTCCTGGCGCCGCTGCCGATGCAGACCTGGAAGGCAGTTGCTTGACCCGGGTTGCTCTTCCTGCTTTTCTTCTTGTCGTGCGCAGGATGATAGTTACGAGGCCGAATGAGCTAGCGGCGTTGGGGGCCTGCAGAGGGCAGAAGGCGGCGCAGACCCCAATTTTCAATCAAGAGTTCTCCGTGATCGCAGCTCATGTGTGCCAAAAAAAGCGTGTTCAGGGGCTTCTTTTGGTGCCGAAAAGCCTTATGGAATCGGTGCCCGAGTATTGGGGGCCCCCCCGGTGGTTTCGACGCACAGCCACTTTTCCTAAGCTAGCAGCTAGCTTGTTTCGAGCTGGCTTTTCATCGTTTGCCTCTTGAATGATTGTGAACTTTTGCTTTGACGGATAGGAAGAAGCAAAAAAAGAGTTATTCGCTTCAAAATCAAAACGTGGTTCTGGAAGATCTAGACCCAAAGTGAAAGTAGAAGATGCGGTTTTGGGAGGTCTGGGCCCGAAGTGAAAGTAGTAGACGCGGTCTTGGGAGGAGTTCGAGTCCGGAGTTCGGGAACACTGCAAAAACCTATATTCGACGAGTTGGAGTCTGCATGCTCCAAGCATCAGAGGTGCTGACTGACAAAGAGCGCTTGCTGTGTGTTTTTCTTTTGTATCAGCCGTGTTTTCTAGGTAATGTCAGAACACATATCCCGCAATATGTTGGCTCTTACCTAGAAACACACAGCTGCATACTTGGCAAGGCATTGCCTCTTTGTTTTCAAGCTTTCACTTTGCACAGCTTGCTCAGTTTCCAGCATAGCATAGCACAGCATAGCATAGCATAGCATCGCCACGCGCTGTGCCATGGAGCCTGAACCGGCTGCCTCGTGGCAGCTCGTTCGGGCTATCCAGGACCTAGCACATGAAGCCCTGGAGAGCTTGACATTCTCTGCTCCGCCGAGCACCAGCAAGTGTGGGATGACATGGAAGTGTCAGACCCTCTGCAAAGCCCTGCAATGGCCAGGCTCCGCCGAGCCCTGCAGCGGGCCAAAGCCATCACAGAAGCCTCGGATGCCGCCGCACCGGCCACACCTGCCCCCAGCAATGCACCCACTCATCTCAACGCTTGGGCGGAACATGCGCCGCCGCGCCTGGACTCTACCAGCATCGCACAGCTCGTCAAAGACTTTCACCGCAACTATCCGGGGGAACACCTGGACGGGGACGCAATGCCAAGCGTTCGGCTCTTGAGCATCGTTCACCGCTGGTTCTCCCCAGGAAACAGCATCAGCTGGGTACCGTGGCAGCTGCGCCTGTCCGAAAGGCAATACCAAGAAATCATCGAAAGCCGCACAACACGCACGCTTCGCTCCGAAGCTGCTTTCCTCAGCACTGCCCTTTTTGATGATGCTACTCCAGAGATGCCTGTGGATCATCTCCGCTTGAGCCCAGCATGGCTTGGACGCATCCAGGCCATCTTTCGCAATGCCATTGCACTGTGCAAAGGCGCACACCTGCAGCGCCTCAAAGCCTACGACAAAAAAATCCTAGATTGGGCCACGCAGACGCCCTCTGACGCATCGCTGCGCACAGTCACCGCCAGCGAACTGGTCTCAGCAGACAGAAAGCTCTGGCGAGAAATTGCCTCGCTTTGCGCTGCCGGTTGGACCCTTGATGACGCACTGCATGAGATGACGCATGTCAGGTCCGACATTGGCATAATCTTTTGCAATTTAGGGCGCGACCACCGGCACCTCCGCCACGCCCACCACCCCGCATTGCCGACCCTCAGAAAGGCAAGACAGGCAAAGGCAAAAGCAAGGGTAAGGACAAGACCGATATGCCGTTGACCCCGGGAAAGCGCAGGCTCAGCAATGCGGATGGCGCTGCAAATGTCAAAGACGGCGACCTCATCAAACAGCACGGCAATAAGACATTCTGCATCCGGTTCAATAAGGGGGTTTGCAAGAACCAGCAGTGCAAGTATCTGCACGCATGCGCATTCCGCATGCCCAACGGCGAACCCTGCGGGAAGAACCACCCCGCCTGCAAGCATCGCAACCCGCAAGAGCCGCCCTCATCCTGAACTGCGCAGCTGGCCGCAGCCGGATCAGGCCAGTTGCCAAACCCGCCTCCGGCGACCTACTCGCCACACAGCCCTGCCTTGCCCTCTACATCTGCAGCAGTTTCTCCCCCGGCCCCAGCCCCGCCCCGGCTCAGCCCTACCCCACAGCAGGAATCTTCCTCTCGCAGTGAATCCTGCTCATCCTCTCGGTCCTCGCTTCCGGACGCACCGCCACGCTTCTTCTTGCATGTGCAGCACCCAGACCGCCCTCGCAAGATTAGGGTTGATAGTCTATCATTTAGTTTCCCGCTGCAAGGCTCCGAATGGGACCCCTGCATACTCCCTCAACTTACCAGTGCAGCCTGGTCCGGGCTTCTAGGTGCCCTGCTGCTCGAGGTCACTTTGGCCGCGCTCAGCCCAGCCGCACATCGCGTCGCACAATCCCTAGTGCGTGCAGCACACTTGCAGGGTGCCCAAATTTGCTTTGCCTATCCTACACAGTGCGATCCAGCCACAGAATCATCGTACATCCATCTCTGCCAGGAACTGGCAGTTCATTGCGTGCACGCCCCATTGCCAGATGATGAGAACTCCGGCATCTTCTGTTGCACAGATGCAAAGCTCGGCCAGATCACGAATAACCCTGACCGTTGGGGGCAGCTTCAAACGTTGCTAGAAACGCATTGCACTTCGGGCATGGAAGATCCAGTGCCTCTTCATCGACTTAACAGATTCCTGCCTAGCTGCTTTCTGCCAAAACGCCCTGCAGTTTGTGACGGGGCAGGGCTGCACAGCTCGGCGGATCACACTGCTAATAATATAAGTACTAAGACCAAACCCCTTCAGAGGCTGGCATCGCAAATGCTCGCATACCTTAAGCAGCATAACTTAGTCAACGCAATATGTCAGCACTTGTCCTCATCAGCAGAGGAACCGCCTCTCAGTGCCGAACACGGCTCGGTACTGGCGGAGCTCATCCGCATCGAGCTCGCACCGCATTGCGAGCCCTCGTCATTTCACAGCATCAGTGAGGGGCAGCCCTTTCGCCTGCAGGTCCTGCGCTGCCTGTCCAGAGCCATACAAGATAAAGATGCAGACCTACCGCTCCTCCTCGAAGACGGTGTGCCTACAGGGGCCTTTGAACCACTTCCCTCTAGTGGTCAATAGGTGCAAGCGCAGTCATCGCTCGATTTTTCTGATGACTTCAGCCCAGCATCGCTCGAGCACTGCAGGGGAAACTGGCTCGCAGCAGAATCCAACCCCGATATGCTTGCACAGCTCGTCCAAGACGAGGTGGACAAAGGCTTCGTCAAGAAGTTCGAGGGAGACGAAGCGCAAGCAGCATCGCACTGGCCAAACGGCACCGCAATCGGTAAGCTCAACATCGTCATGGCTGAAGGGCGAGACCCTCGCTTAGTGCTAGATAGCTCCATTTGCGGTTTAAACCAAGCAATACACCTGCCAGAGCATGTCGCATTGCCTACTGCATCAGATGTCCAGCGCACCTTCCTTGCGGGAGATTGCTATCGCGCTCTGATAGCATTGTCCCTGGACTTCAAGGCAGCGCATAAATGCTGCAAGGTACGCTATTCCGATCAAGGGACACTCTTGTTCCGGTTTGGCAATGCACTGTATCGCTACACCGTTTGCCATTTTGGTGCACGTTTTTCTGCCTACTGGTGGCAACGCGTCGGCAGTCTCATACTGCGCTGCATGCACGCATTGCTATGCGGACACCCACACCGTGCATGGCTCTACGTGGACGATCTGCTTGCTTTCTTGCACCAGCATCGCTCCCAGGAGGCCGCATCGCTGATAGTCGCATTGCTTGCTGCCCTGCCTACACACGGAAACCGTGGAGCTCAGAGAGGCAAAGCTAGCAAAGCTCCGCGAGCAGCTTGCAGAAGTTAGACAGCAGAGCAAAGTGCCTCGCAAAGCACTCGAAGGTGTGCTAGGCCTGCTTAACTGGGCCACCACTCTCAGCAAGCATCTTCGCCCTTTCATGGCACCGCTCTACAAAGACCTTCATAGTGCCAAGGGCACGCTACACAGCATAGCACCTGCCATGTGGCATCATTTCTATGACGCTCTAGACGAACATGCCAAGCTCACGCGCACTCCTGCTGGCACATGGCTGCCCCGCCAAGCCCAGCTTCTCGAGGTGGGCAGCATAAAAATCCACACAAAAAAGGACGTGCCACTTGTGCCACCTTCCCACAAGCATCAGTGGGCACGCCTAGCTGATCCGCATCGCTCGGAAATACACCTGCGCCAGGAGAGCAAATTCGTGCTTGCGTGGCTCAGCCTTTGCTTTGCACACGAGCAGCCGCGATCGCTTCGCACTGCACCACGCATGCATTGCTACAGTGCGGCGGACGCTTTCGCTGACACGGATAAAATGGGCATTGGTGGCTGGCTCGGCACCTCCACCGCTTTCGTCTGGTTTAGCGAAATTTTCTCTGCAGAGGAGGTTCGAGCACAATGGCCACGCATGCTCATGCTGGTGAAGTGTCACCAAGGACAGCGAGAGTGCGGCATCGGACTGGCTTAGACACCCGCCATAGTGTTCTGAGTCGGCTGATGTCGTGGCGAAGTGTGCACAATGGCCACGCTCAGCTGGGCTTGCCCGGCGGCGCTGTTTGTAGTAAACGTTAGGGGTGGGCCTGGGAGGGTTTCCTGACTGTATTCCCCCCCCAGGGGGGGCCGAACGAAGAGAATAAAAGAAGAAAGGAGATTTGAGATGTTTTGAGATTTGTTTTATATTTTCTACTTTCTTTACAGTTAGCTCTTTGAGATGTTGCTTGTGTCAAGGACCAATCCCATCATTCAGTGTATGAAGCAGAGTTCAGGCTCAGGAGAAAATTTTGTTTCTAGAGGACTAGTTATCACAACAAGCTTTGTGACGCATCGAGCTGTTGCAGGCTACATTCTATCCAGCTTCACAGCTGTAATAAGAGCCTGTATCGGGTGGGCAGCCTCGCGGCCCATGGACGGCCATGAGTGGCACAGGTCTCAGCTGGCCTACCGCAGTAGGCTTGAAGAGTGGTTTGGCACTCCTGAGAAGCTCCATGCATCGGCCATGGTCTTTTCGGGGGTCGGGCCCGTGGGCCCGTGGGCCCGTGAGCCCGTGGGCCCGTGAGCATGTGGCGGGCCCGTGGCGGGCCCGTGGGCCCGTGGGCCCTTTGGTCACGGGCAGAGCGTGCCCGTTGGTGGGGACCCTATTTTTTTTAGCCCTTTTTTTTTTTTTTTTTTTTT